AGGGGGGGGGGGGGGGGGAGTGAAGAGAGATACATAAGAAGAAAAAAGAAAAATTATGTCAATTCATAATTGATAGCCAAAGTAATATTTCCCATTTGGAATCTGAAAAAAATGAAATAGAGAAAGAGTATCCCCAAAATCACTAAGTTTCCTTATACCATTTTTTGCTTCAGACCTGCCAGGAGAGAATTAAGACAGCGGTAGGTTTGGAGAGAAGAGTACCAAAAGAATAGATAAGTTAAGGAGCAGCAAAGACTAACTTAGTTGGGGAATTTCCACTTCAAAATCCCACCACCATAATGTATTTTCCACAACTGTAAAACCTTCTCAGGAAAACTGGAAGCCAAGGGATCATATTTATTCTTTTCCTACCTTTCCCTTTGTGGTCAGACTTCCCTGAGAATGGCCCACCATTCTAAAAAAGGTGAGAAAGGGACCCATGCCCCGTGATAAACGCCAGACTCCACTTTTCCCTGTGACTCCTGCAAAAAGAAATGTGAGATATAACAATCCCTAACATTCATATAGTTCATACTACGATGTCTATTTAAGCCTCATAGTACCTCTCTGAGGTAGGCTGGTTTCCCATTTTAATCTCCATTTTGCAGATGAGAAAATGGATGCAAAGATGGTGTGATTTGCCCAGCTGAATACTAGATTCCGAGCTGATCTTTGTTACTCAAGTCAGTTTAATAAATTTGACAGATACTTATTAAGCACTGCAGAGATGGGTAGGAGGTCTCACAGCTGTGCCTATCAATCCATCAGTCAACCCTTATGGGTAGACGAAGAAGTATTAACTCTCTTCCTACTGGAGTACTGTGAGAGATTTAAAAAAAAAAAAAAAAAGACGTGTTGCCGCCTCGCTGGAAAAGACAAAACTAACACAACAAATAAAAACAAACAATAAAAGACAATATATAATTAAGTGCTAAACTGTGTACCCCAGGCTAAGTGCTGTGGGAGCTTAGAGAAAAGAGAAAATCTATGAGCCAGAGCTCAACCAGGAAGGCTTGACAGAGGGGGCTCAAGATGGTTGTTGACTAATGGCTGGGTTGGGGAGGTGAAAGGACAGGAGAGGGAGGAGTCCCAGAGACTTGGCGCCCAGGAAGTGAGGAGTGAGGGATGCAGGTGGGGCCAGGAGGGAGGGGCAGCCTCTGATGCGCTGTGACAAGCCCGAAGGAAGCTGCTCCATGAAGGACGAGAGGCACAGCAAGAAGTGACCCAACAGCAGCAACGTTTTAACCCGGGACACAGGAGGAAAAAAATGGCATTTTTAAAATGTTTTAGTATCTAAGGAATGCCAAGTACTGGTCTTTATTTCTACAACAGTTTTCTGAATAGAAGAAATAGTTATCAAACTGCAAAATAAACACAGATAAGAATGTAGAAACTAGAAACACTGATAGCCCTTTAAGGCTGAAGGTAAACAAGAACATTTTAGAAGAGAATTTCTTTATCCTTTTTGCAGTTCTAAACCTACACACTAGGACTTCCCTGGTGGTCCAGTGGGTAAGACTCCGTGCTCCCAATGCAGGGGGCTGGGTTCGATCCCTCATAGGGAGAATTCTATTTGGCTTCTCTGAGCTTCAGAATTGGCATGAGTGATACTGAGATACTTTAGATTATATCTCAAAGATTGGTGAACTTTAAAAAGTACTTACTGAGGGACTGACCAATGTAAACACTAAACAATCACTTGTTCAGCTGATTTTAACTTTTTTTTTCCTAGAAGTGAAGAAAGGTAGATCTTTTGCTTAGTCGGAGGATATTTAATGGCATGGAAAATGTTTCTATTACATTGTTGAGAGGAAAAAGCAGCTAACAAAACTGTACGAACACGCAGATCCCATTTTTGTAAGAAATGGACCTATCTATATGCAATTTTTAAATAGGGCAGGAGAATTACGTATAGCAAGATATTAACAGCAATCATCTCTGACTGGTGCGGTTATGTAATTTTTATTTTATTCTTTGTATTCTTTTCTAACTTTCTAATTTTTTTGCCATAAACATTGTTTAGTGGTCGGAAAAAGAGTACTTTTCTTTTTGCGGTACGCGGGCCTCTCACTGCTGTGGCCTCTCCCGTTGCGGAGCACAGGCTCCGGACGCGCAGGCTCAGCGGCCACGGCTCACGGGCCCAGCCGCCCCGCGGCATGCGGGACCCTCCCGGACCGGGGCACGAACCCGCGTCCCCTGCATCGTCAGGCGGACTCTCAACCACTGCGCCACCAGGGAAGCCCAAGGTAGATCTTTAACAGTGTTAAAAGGAATCCTATTCCCCTGGCCTCATTTTATTGTGAGAAAATGTCCTGTCTACTCCCCAGGAGGGAATATGGATGAAGTAACATTGGTGCTTCTCCCAGCTCTTCCTTCTCCAAGGAAGAAGTGATGGAGGAAGAAGAAACTGATCATTCCCGGTTCCAACATTGTCTCTATCTTTTTCTGTATCTGTCCGTGTGTGTGCATGTGCGTGTGCGTGTGCATGTGTGTGTGTGTGTATCTCTGTCCTTCTCTTGCTATCTCTCTTGCTCTTTCAAGCTCTCTCTCAAGCTCTCTCCACCACCACCACCACCCCTGAATTGTGCTGCCCTCAGAGGAGACACCACTCTACCCCTGATTCCACATGGCAAGCGCACCTATGGGGGGCCACTCACTGTTCTCACTTGAAAGACCTGATGGGAAAAGATAGCATCTTCCTTGCAACTTGCAAGGAGAGGGTCTGTTGTGTAGACACTCTGATGTAGGGAAGAAAGGGGGTAGGGAGAGTAAGAAGAAGCCTGATTGTGGCCACAAACCCAATCGGAATCTCCAGTCCAACTCCAGCAACAATGAAGCTGATGTTGGCCACATGAACCTTACCTAATTCTTTCTACAATCCTAGAGAAAGAGAGGGGTTTGAGTACTAATGATGATGGAATCTTACAAGCAACTGTCTCCCATAAAGCCAATTTTGAATATCTGTGAAATTATGTCCTCTACACACCTGTGTGTGTGTGTGTGTGTGTGTGTGTGTCTGTGTGTGATCATTTGCCCGCTTCCTTCCTATACCAACTCCATCCTCTGAAACAAAACTTGACACATTGAGAAGGTGGCTCTTCTCAAGCAACAAACAGCTTGTTCTCAGCAGCCCGGCTGGCCTCTTATGTAAGGCATCAGACAGTTCACCCTTCTCCATGGAATGAAGCTTTTGGTAGCCCTGGGAATGGCCGAATAGCTGAGCAGAAATGTTAAAAAACTGTGCACTGGGAAAGTCCAACAGTTAGTCACACAAACTGGAGCCAACAGTTCTCACTCCTTGTTAACAATAGCAAGCTGTCTAACCTTGGGAAAGCGCAGCTTCCTGCTTTGTTTCCATGAACAGGATTTTGGATAATTATCTTAGCCATATATTTTCACGGTGCTTTTTTTTAATCACCCATAATACTCAGACTTTCGGAGATTTTTTCTATGTTTTAAAGGAATAAGAAAAAAATTCTTACTTTAGTTATCCAGCACTTCCGTCATCACAGATTTGAGCTAGAATTATTATTGATAATAAATTGATAGAATTCTGAAAATAAAATTTTCAGAAGCTATTCATGTTTCTTAAAAATGGAAGATTTAGGACTTCCCTGGTGGTCCAGTGGTTAAGACTCCGCGCTCCCAGTGCAGGGGGCTCGGGTTCAATCCCTGGTAAGGGAACTAGATCCTGCATGCCACAACTAAGAGCCCGCATGCTACAACTAAAAGATCCTGCATACTGCAACTATAAAAAGATCCGTGTACCACAACTAAGACCCAGCGCAGCCAAATAAATAAATATATTTTTTTAAATGAAGGGTTTGTGGGAATTCCCTGGCTGTCTAGTGCTTAGGGCTCCACGCTTCCACTGCAGGG